GGGGGGGGGGGACAGCCCGGACAGAGACACCCCCGCGCGCGCCCCGCTCACGAAGAACAGACCGGATATCTGCGCCAATATCCCCGGCAGGGCCCCCGTCCCCCGAGCGTCCGTCCGGCCCCGGTCGTCGCCGCCGACATTGTCCCCGGGACCTTAGGGATGATAATTGGAACCCTCCCCTCCCCGCCCTCCCTCTGCGCGCCCTCCAGCAACCCGTCGTAGCGCGCGGCTCTGCGACCCACAAACAATCAATTGCGAAGCTGGGCGGGGCGGGGCGAGGAGAAGCGCCCCGCAGGACGCCCCCGCAACATCGACAAAGCTGGGCGGCGGCGGCGCCCTGCAGGACGGCGATGGTGGTGGCCGTGTCGGGAAGCGGAGCTGGGAGGTTTTGCGGAGAAGAAACGGCAGGAAAAGGGCGCTCGTGCCCGCCTCTGACGATGGTGATGCTGTACCGCATGGAGACGTGCGGGCGGGCTTGCCTACCGACTCTCAATAACACAAATTGAATAACAGTTTTAGTCATACACCGCGCCCGTTTTTGGAGCCATGCCGATACGGGGGGCTGTTTTCCGCCGGGCGATCCTTCCAGCAGCAGCGGCCGTCCGGAGGTGGAGGAGCCGGGAATCGTGAAGGTTTGCCCGCGCCCCACCAGGACGGGGGACGTGGGCGGCGGGCGCACCAGGCCGGCCAGCGGCGTTAGTGCGGTCAACCGTGAGCTTGGCGGGGCGTGGCGTGGCGGGGCGGGGCGGGGCGGGGCGGGCTGTCCACTTCACACTCGCGCGCGCTGGTGCAGAGCAGAAGCAGCAGCCCAACCCCCCAACCACCACCCTCCGGCCGTATTCCCGCTCTCCACCGCACCCGCTCAAGTGAGCACACAGGCGCACACAAGCACACAAGCGCACACAAAGCGCTCGCCCGCTCACAGTCACACACACACACAGGAAACCCGCTCGCTCTATTTTTTATTCAGACGAGGGAAATGAAATAAAAAGGCGTTGGTCTCCGTGTGTTGTGTGCGCCCGCTGGACTGTCCGTCCCGGGAGGGTGCCCCCTCCCCCCCCCCCCCCGGTTGCTCCACGACGCGCGGAGACGAGACGAGCGGCCGGGGACCTGCTGCTGCTGCTGCTGCAGGCAGTACTGCAGGGAGAGCAAGTCGGGCGCAGCACATCCCCCCCGCGGAGGGCACCCGCGCTCGCTCCCGCCCGACGACATGATCCCCTCGGCTTTGTCCCCCGGATGGAGAGGCTTCTGTCCGGGGCAGACCACCCTCCCCC